TCCACGTTTTCCGCTAGTGACTGCTCCGACTTGATGTTTTCCTTTTAACGCTAATATTTTAGCAGGCTTATGAACGGTATTAAGACCTGTCTCATCCATGTTAAAAATTTCGTTATATCTGTGATAGTTAACCCAAAGAATCTAGACTCCAAATCCAAAATGTGATGAACCAATTCAGTCTCCATTTGCTCCAAATCGCTCCAAATCGCTTGGTCTTCCTATTTTTTTCTGAGAATTTAGACCTTTTAAATGATGTCGAAAGGTCGGTTTTGGAATACCATATGTCCTGCATACTTCATTGAATCGTAATTTCCCATTATTAAAATCTTGTATTGGTGTATTCATATTTTGCATAGACCATTTATTATATTGTCGTTTTGCCATTGTGTGCTAAAAAAAATTATTTTTATTTTTTCCCCTCATAAAATGATAAAATTAAAAACTTAACAAATATGTATAAACAGAAATTGATTGGTTAAAACCAAAATGAAAACAATTTTATTTCGTATTCCTAATTTGTACCGGTACGAATTAGGATGTATAATAAAGTACGATTTACGCTCAAAGTCCTCTTCAAAATACACTTAACGCTTTTAGGTTATGAGAAAACGCTGCGCGCTAATTCTACCACCAAATGAATTGTAAAGAAATGCAATTTTTGAAAATCGTATGATTCACAATTTTATGTTTATAGAATTCTTAAAAAACGCTTACAAAAAACGCTAAAATTTTACAAGAAAACTGAAAAAAAACTTACTTTTATCAGTAAAATTACATCTCGCACAGGAATCACTGCTTCGGAGCATCACAGCTGGTTAGCTTAGCACTAACTCAAGTAATCACCGACAGATGCCGCTGTATGTTTTATAAATTCTGAGTAATTTAGGTGGTACGATTTACGTGCAAGTACGATTTAGGCAAGTCTACCCTACAAATATTTACACCTGTTAATTTGTTTCCTTAAAATTCTACAATATATTTCAAAAAAGATTGTCTGATTGGATGCTTGCTTGCTTTGGAAGGCGCGAAAATAGCGTAATTAAATAAAACAACTTTGCCTTGCATCTTAGAAATAACGTCTTTATAAAAAATCTTTCTACTCTTCTGGGTTCTATGTTAAAAAGTCTATAAGATTCATCTTATTACCATTCAGGGTATTTAAAATACAAATGCTAACTGTAATCATCTCCAAATTTACTGTTTCTTCGTATATGTGAAAAACAAATCTATCTCAAGTTGTTTTGAAAACTTAATCCGGAATAGAATACAATTTCTATCAGCAAATATTCTGATAAATAACTAAAAGCGCTTTCGACTCCTATAATCATGTTCCTGAATGTAAATTGTGAGGTTTTCGAAATAAAGCAGTTTTCTCACAAAATCCAATTATTTTTTCTACTTCACTTCTAATTGATTCTATTGCCCCAGAGCTAAATTTCGGCGAGGTGTTGTTTCTTCTTAAATTCGGTTTCAGCTGTTTCCATATCAGTTTTATGGGATTAAAATTGCCATGATGTGGTGGAAGACCCGCTCCATGGCCAACTTGCCCTCATTACACTAATTACAAACATAAGACGGAATAGAAATCGCTCCAAAGCTTCGTCGAACAAAGAATTGAAATGGATAAAGATTGTTTAAATGAAATTCCGTAAACAAATTTTCATATCATTATTACAAAAGTTTGTACGAATAGAAACTTGTTTTTTTTTAATCCGTCTACGATCTACATTCACAGTTTTTGCAAAAGTTGTTACTCTAAAGGTACCGGTACCAGTTTCGGTCAAAATTGTTTTCTCGAAATAAACAGATTGTTGCATTAAAAAAAAAGTCAAAGTGTTATTTCTCGAGATAAGCGACAAACACTGCAGTACTGAAAATAGTTTAGATAAAGGAGACTGAAAAACCTCTCGTGATCAAATTTTAAGCAAGTACTACGTCAGACAGGCCAAGACTAAGTCTACTTGAATGTCGAATTATTTCCGATGATGTGCCATGCGTTTGAAATATACGGGAATTACATTTTTAAAATTTTATGCCTTCAATTTGAAAATTTGGAAACATTTTCTAATATTGTGTTACCTGTTAAATAAAAAAAAACATATTTAAGCAAAATAATGGTAGTTTGCAGTAGGTAGGTTTCGAACGCACATTGCTATGGAGAATCTGATTTATAGTCAGACGCCTTAACCGACGGACGAAGACTAAATCTGTTTGAATGTCGAATTATTTCTGACAATGTGAAATACGTTTTAATATGCGGGCATTACATTTTTATAAATTTATGCACTCAATTTCCATATTTGACAAAATTTTCGGAGCTGATCTGTTATTTAAAAAAAAATGTATTTAAGCAAAATGCAGTAGGTAGGTTACGAACTTACGCTGCTAAAGGGGATCTGATTTCTAGTCATTAACCGACAGGCCAAGACTAAATCTGTTTGAAAGTCAAAATACCGGCGTGAAAGAGTACGACCTGAGTGATTATCGGGGTTTTATTAAATCTGAATTTGAGAGCCACTCCTTGGTGCACAAAAATTCGAACAAAGTGCCCCTACGTAAGTGTACCCATTGCAATTATCAAACTAAATACAAATTGGTCATGGCGACTCCCGGCAAAAAAAGATTCCATTGTGGTATTTGTGTGGTATGTGCGTGCGGTATCAAAAATGTCAACATGTATGTTATAGGTAACAAAAATAATTTTCTCCTCCCTCCTTTAAAATACCCAATTCTACACCGATCTAGCATGTGGAAAGTATTATTTTACGACGTCAGTTTCGTTTCTTACGGTTGCGATCCACTTCGGACATTTTTCAGATATTACCGCATGGATTTGGGAGGAATCGGATGATTTCGGATATATTACCCACGGCTTTAATTTTTATGTTTGTCAATTCTGAATGGCAGTGAATGTGTCCGTGTTGTTGCTACACATTTCATGCCCAAAACTTCGGAAATTCGACGTTTTTTTTAATACCAGTTGTTTCACTTATTCAACGCTTAGGAGCCCACAGCCAGGTTCGTCATCGGCGTCTTCTCGGTCATCTTGGAACAGCTTCCTTTGTTTCATCTTTTTTGACAGCATACAAAACACGTCTAACACTTTTGTCTCACAAAAAAGTCATTAGATAGTCAAGTACGGACTCAAAAATCCTTGCAAATTTGTTAGTGTGTTGTAGATCGGGATGTTTCATTAAATTTGCTGGATGTTCTGGCTATGGGGCTGCCTAGTTCATGCATAGTAAACAAATTCATTAAAACATATAAAACAATCAATAATGAGTAAAAAATGAAGTATTTACCATAAGACGGATATTTCTTGGCTACTTAAAAGATGAATTATGTCAAAGTAATCCCTTTTTCATAAATATGTGCTTTTGTTTCAGGTACTCAGAGGGAACTTAATTTGTTCTTAGGATATGTGATAAGATGTGTTTATTTAAAAAAATGCACTTTTTACCAATTTTGTATTGTATTGTATGAAATCATTAGTTTTAAGCATCCTTATATGATATGGAACTAATTTCGATATTAAGAAATAATGTACAAAACTGTAATTTTCTACTGGCTATTTTCGAAAGGAAATTTAATTGGCTCTTAGAACATGTGATGATATTCACGGCGTTCCATTTAAAAAAATGCGCTTTTCACCGTTTTTGTATGTAGTAGGCAAATCGTTAGTTTTGACCAGCTCTGTATGATATCGAACTAATTACGATATTAAAAAATAATGTACAGTATCTCCTTATGCTGCGTCCAAAACTCGGAAGTACGTAAACTTAAATAAATAAAACGAATTTAAATAAGAATCTTTTATTACTTATCTTGTTAGGATGTTATGTTATTTCCTTAAAAATATTTTAAAAACACTTCAATAATATTTGGGAATAAATACAATAAATGAGTCGTAAAAGTAATATTTTTTTTCTGAAAGTTGGTAACCAAACCAGATATTTTTGAGATAGAGATTTTATATTTGCCACACCACTGATTTCCTTAAAAAAAAGACATGTGCATTCATTTATGAGTAGATTCGATCTCTTACTTTTTTTAGTCCATCGCACGGTTTTGCTGTCATATTAACGATATTATGTCCATACAGAAAAGAGGTTTTTACTTTTTAAGCGAAAACCGTATATCGCATTGAAAAAATCAAAAAATTAAATTTCTTTATGGAGAATATAAGAATAATTTTTCTTTTAAGAGAAATCAGTGGCGTACAAACAATGTCTGCCAAAATAAACAGGCGAAATTCCTTACGTCCGTATTTTAAAATTTTTTTGTACATGTGTGCCAAATATCATTAAGTTATCATACATATATAAGAAATATATAAATTTTTGAAAACTCTGTATCACAAACGTTAAGACGTTTAGGTCATATGTTCATATGAAGTTTTATCCACTTGAAATTCACTTAATTATTGACATTCAGTTAGAAAACACCCTGCATATACCCAGGAGGAATAAAGTATTAGATATATTTGCTTTCGGTCTTCAAAATTATCACCATTCACTGCTTTAATGCCAGTAAGCCACCACCGACAAATCCACTTTTGCTACCAATGTTATTAATCTTCTATCTTTCTCCGAAAATACTTTTATTCTAGCGCGCCATCCTTCCATGAAAACTCGCGTTGCGCTTATTAAATATCCTCTATTCAAAGTGAACTTCTGTTTTTCTTCCTTTTATTGTTTTGTCCAAGATAGACTAAGGAAGCGACTGTATTATTCGACCGATGACATTTATTACAGTTTTTTCTCTCTTGATGGACCAATCAGTATATTGTTGACTGGCTCCAGTCATATTTGAACACATTTCAACTGTTTTTGCCACTTCGAATGTTGATTTTTTTATCATTTACAGAAAGCGCAATTTATGATATTTCATGATATTCTTAAATGTACCGTGAACGTCATTTAGATTGGGAAGGATTTACTTAGATGAAATATATCTTTTGCGCTTTGCATCGGAATAAAAAAGTATTTCTTAAATTCTAGATTCGCTTACTTCCGACGCGGTGCCCGACAACGACGGCGACAAACCTGGTTTGGACGATTTGAAGCCACCGTTAGGGCCCAAAAATAAGCCCGACACTGCCAACAGCCAGAGAAGGAAAGTGCAGAAAAGTGCGGTGCCTCTAAAGTGCGACAAGTGCGAATACGAAACTAACCTTAAAGGAAGTTTATTGAGGCACAAGAGGCGACGACATTTGGGCTTCAGCAAACCGAAATTCAAATGCGACTTATGCGATTACAATTCCACACTTAAAGCGGATTTAACCAGACACACCGTCGCACACGAAAATCCCGAGGAAATGACTCTGTATAAGTGCGACAGTTGCGAGTTTGAAACCGACCATAGGAGTTACATGCTGAAGCACAGAAAACGAATACACGCGGACGTCAACGAGAAAAAATTCAAGTGCGATCAATGCGATTATCGGTGCGCGCTCGTATCATATTTGACGAGGCACGTCCAAACGCACAGGAAGCCGGAACTGCCTTTATATAAATGCAACGGCTGCGATTACCAAACCAAATTCAAAAGTAAGTTTCTCGTTCACGCAAAACGTCATTTAACGGCGGGGACTCCGTATAAGTGCAACCTTTGCGATGATCAATGCGCGGACAAAGAAGATTGGTTGTCGCACACGAAGCGACATCTGGGCTTCAGTCAGAAAACGTACGAGTGCGACCTGTGCGACTACCGAAGTAACGATTCGTCAAACTTTAAACGACACTGTTTGGTGCATAAAATTACGGACTGCAGGCTTCTATACAATTGTAATTATTGCGATTATCAAACTAAATCGAAAGGGGATTGGTTGTTGCACACGAAGCGACATCTAGGCTTCAGCCAGAAAACGTTCGAGTGCGAGTTATGCGGATACCGAAGCAACGACTCGTCGAACTTCAAAAGACACTGTGCGGTGCATAAAAATGCGGACGACGCGCCTCTATATAAGTGCAATTATTGCGATTTTCGAACCCGATGCAAAGACGAAAAGAAGGGGCATGCGTGCGTCAACAGGGTGACATTCAAGTGCGGCTCGTGCGATTTCGAGTGCCTGACGGAATCCATAATAAAGATGCACTCGGAAGCGCATAAAAATCCAAACGAGATGCCTCTGTACAGTTGCAACGATTGCGAATATCGAACCAAATTCAAATCTGGTTTGGTGAAGCACTCGAAGGTGGCGCACAACAAATTCGAGGAAGTGCACCTGTTTAAGTGCAAAAGTTGCGATTTTCAAACCAAACGCAGACGGAACCTGGCGGTTCACACAAAACAACACTCGCGGACCGACGAGAAAATTTTTCATTGCGACTTATGCGATTACCTATGTTTCACCAAGAGAACTTTGAACATTCACTATATATCGCATAAGAATCCGGACGAGGCACCTTGGTACAGCTGCCACGATTGCGAATATAAAACCAAAATCAAATATCATTTGGTAAAGCATTTGCGAAAAGCGCACAAGAAAAAAACCGACCAAGTGTATAAGTGCGAAAGTTGTGATTTTCAAACCAGATACGGGCGGAGCTTTCTGGTTCACACTAAACAACATTCGGACATCGGAGGGACGAATTTCAAGTGCGAGTTGTGTAGTTATCGGTGTATTACTAAATTAGCTTTCAAGATGCACTCTATAGCGCATGGAAATCCTGATGAGATTCCTCTGTACAGGTGCAACAATTGCGAATATACCACCATATTCAAATCTAACTTGGTCACCCACTTGAAGCAGCACGTGGATGCCGCGAAGAAGAAATTCAAGTGCGACTTGTGTGATTACCGTTGTGTTGCTAAAACTTATCTGATCAGGCACTCTTTAACGCACAAGAAACCCGACGACGTGCCTTTATATGAGTGCGACAGTTGCGACTTTCAAAGCAAATACCTATGCAGCCTAAGGAGGCACACAGCGAGAGAGCACAGCGCGTAATCTATCTATCTATCATCTTATCTATTGGGTTGTTCGGAAAGTCATTTCGTTTTTTTTTGGGGAACATGAAAGACAGTTTTCGTATAATGAATAAATATTTTATTAAATTATATATTGGCCGTTCTGGTCCGACACCTTTTCCCATCTTTCTGGCAGTAACATAATTTCCCTCTCATAAAAGTTTTGGTCCTTGCTGGCAAAAAACTGGTTCAGGTGGTTTTTGACATCTTCATTTGAGGTAAAGGTTTTGCCATCCAAAAAATTTTGCAGGGACCGGAACAAATAGTAGTCGGAAGGCGCCAGATCTGGAGAATATGGTGGACGTTGCAGTACGTCCCATTCAAGCTGCAAAAGTTTTTGGCGAGTGACCAAACTTGTGTGGGGTCTCGCATTATCCTGGTGGAACACTACACCCTTCCTGTTGCTTAATTCGGGCCTCTTCTCTTTAAGTGAATCATTCAATTTGTCCAATTGATGACAATAGACTTCTGAATTAATCGTTGTATTGTCCGGCAAAAGCTTAAAAAAACGATTCCTTTGACATCTCACCAAACGGAGAGCATCACCTTTTTTTGGTGAATGTTGGCTTTTGACACGCTTTGAGCCGGTTCATCTTTTCTGCTCCATGACCTCTTGCGTTTAACATTGTTGTATACAACCCATTTTTCGTCCCCAGTAACAATCCGCTTCAAAAATGGATCATTTTCTTGACGTTTGAGGAGCGAATCACACACGTCAACGCGACGACACAAATTTCGCTCCGTAAGGGCATGGGGCACCCACACATCGAGCTTCGAGGTTAAGCCCATGCCTTTCAAATGGCCATAAACAGTCGAATTCGACAAATTTAATCTCTCACCGATCTCTCGTGTGGTTATTCGCCGATTTGCATCAACTAATGGCTTTATCGCATCTTTGTCAGCTTCGACCGGCCTTCCAGACCGTGGTGCATCTTCGACATCAAAATTGCCGGATCGAAATTTTGGAAACCAGTTCTGGCACTGGCGTACTGTTAACACGCCTTCTCCATACACATCCGTCAATTTTGTTCTCGCTTGGACAGCATTTTTACCTTTTCTGAAGTAAAAAAGTAAAATATGACGAAAATGCTGCTTATTGCTCTCCATATTTAAAAGGGCACCAACCAAAAACTACTGCGTAGAATTAATAGAACTTTTTCACACACAAGCCTTGCAATATCAGCTCTCAAGACATATAATGGTTAGGCGGCTTAAATGTGAAGTTGGTTTCGAAAAAACGTAATTAAATCCTCTGACGGGAAAAAACGAAATGACTTTCCGAACAACCTTATACATGAACTTAGATTTTTAGATATATTTGTATTTACTAACTTATTAAATCTCATCCTTATTTCCTTTATCTGGGCTTATTGGTTCATTACAACAGCAAAATTTCTGATATTCGGATTTCAACCAGTTTCTTAATGCGAGGGAAGAGTAAAATTGAATTGAAGGACAATTGAAAGGTTATGTTATATCGTAAGTTGTTAGAGCATCAGAGAAGTAATTTGTACAGTACAGACATTCAAATATTGTTTCATTTTTATATAAAATTCTGCCAAATATAGCTTAAAATATAAGGATAACATAAAAATACCGTATTTAAAATACACCTTCATTTGTAAATTTGAGTCGTCATGTTCTGAGGAGCCAGATGAAACCATAAATCAGAGAAATAATAACAATAGCTACCGGAAAGAAACTATAATTCTAATTTTAAATAAAAAGGTATTAGTAGTAGTAAAGTAGTTGACTACGTGATGTTGATTTATAACTCTCTCGCATTCAGAAACTCATAAACTTTCTAATCATGAAAACAATGCAGTAAACCAAAACACCGTCGTTTTAAATTGGAACAAAAATACGTATACTAATTTGTACTCCCCGTATAAAGCAAAGCTATTATATATGTATGATGATAATAAAACATTATTATCATACATGGATCATGCATAATAAAATTTTAAGTTGTGATATTTTTTATTGAATCCTGCACCTAATGACAAGTCAGAAGCCTCTGTTGGTGCACGGAAATAAGTGCAAGTGTGCAACAAAAAAACGGACCTAAAAAACATTCCGTGAGGTATAAAACTGCGAAGTGCGGCAGCTACGGTTACGTATTAATCATAAAGTAAACTTTTTGAAGCAAAAAAACGACGAAATTCGTGCATCAGCGGAAAAAGATTGAAGTGCGACTAATGTTGCCTTTCCATTGTTAAAGCAGATTTGACCAAGAACGACAAAATGCCTCTATATCAAGAAGAGAATCTGGTGCACAAAAAACGACAAGCACCTCCAAAGTGATTCTTCTTCTTGCTCTGCTTATGGATATTCGCGACTACATTTTCCATGACTTTTGTTTTTTTATTCAAATGTTTGATCACGTCCTCGTCTTTCTGGTATCTTAAATATTCTAAGAGGCAATATAGTGACATAGAGTGAATTCCTACTTACCATCTAATCTCATATCATAGTTCTAATCTCCAAATCTCCTCTTTTTTTCACCAAAACAAAATCTAAGCAAACTAATAACTTTGATATAACATTTAATAATATACCATTTGGGTCCTTGGATACAGCAGCATTGAAGCTTCTTTAATCAGATTCACATTTTCTTAATAAATTTTTGAATTGCTTTAGAATAACTTTGTCTCACCCAAAATGGACCACTTTGGCAATATTCGTTTGAGACGACATTTATTTCAAATGCAATAGACCGAATTTGTTACATTTCTGAAATACTTTTCATACTATACAAATTGACTGCCTGCTTTATGCAAAAACCTTTTTATAAATTGGTTTCAACTCCACACAACTAACTTTTCCAGACCACTGATTCCCCATTATATTATCCATTTTTTGGTGATGTTTTGATAGATTGATAGTTTCAATCGAGAGTTGTTCTTTTTTGTAATTTACCTTGAAATGGTTATAGCCCTTATAGTTTTTTTATAAGTTTTTTTCAGATTACGTGTAGGAATAACACTTTATCACCTTGATGAAGCGACTAAACATCACCTTTGTTCAATTTTTCTTTTGCTAATAATAATACACGTTTATTATTTATCGTACATCCTGAAAGAAAACATTGCATCTGACAAATGCAGAAAGTGCCAAGAACACGCGGAAACGATTGAACACATCCTTTCCGGATGCTCCGGACTAGCCCACACAAAATATATAGAGAGGCGCAACAAGGTTGCAAACATTATATACCTCGAATTGGCGAAGAAATACCACATAAACCTTAAAGATAAAAAGCCATATTTCTGCCTCCAGTCATCGAGAATAACAAAGCGAAGATCTACTGGGACAAAGCCATAATCACACACAAGGAAATCAGGCATAGTCCGCATATTTAGTTGATATATCCATCCCCAGCACACACAACATCGACTCTAAGAAGGCTGAGAAGATCCAAAAATATGATGATCTGAAATGGGAAATTAAAGAACTGTGGCACATGGAGAGAGTGGAGGTCGTCCCATTGATGATATCCAGCATGGGTGTTGTACAGACGGACCCGAAAACAAACTTAATTATACTGGGTCTAAATTGAAACAGTTACTATATGATAATAATAATAAATAATAAAATATCATATTAAATTGACGTCAAATGGCTAATTCGCAAGAACAAGTAAAAAACCGCTCTAAATGCCTACAATACAAAAAGTCATTATTTAAAATATCAGATATTTCAAATTGTTTAATGAGTGCTTTTAAAAAATCTATCTAGTTTCAATGCACATAAAAAATAAGGAAAGTTTTGAAAAACTTTTTTCGATATGGATCTTTAGCAATCTTTTAAGGGCGCTGAAAAGTACGCACATAGTAGAAACGTGTCATTTAGACCCTTATTATGAGCAAGGCATGTTGTGCAACACCGTACAATGTTTGTATGTTCTTCTATGGACACGCTGGACTACCTAAGGGAAGTCGTTGCTTAATGTTTGTGTATTGTAAAAGTCTGCAAATACGTACTTTTAAGGTACCCAGTCGAATCTCAAGAGTGCGCAGTTGTCAAAGGAAATTTTTGGAGGCAGTAATTTATGTTTTTGTGACAAATAACAAAAATGAATTTATTGTAATGTAAACTTTCCGATCCCAAGATAATGGCAAATACAAGAAGCATCTGGAGTAGACTGTTTTTTGTAACTGTCTTTTTGAGAGGTTCTAACGGTGCGCAGCCTCAATCTTAAGAATGTGCAGTCGTTTGAGGAAATTTTTAGAGGCAGTAATTTATGTCTTTATAGCAAATGTAAATAAATAAATAAATAGGTCTTCATTTTCCAGCACAATTCAACAAAATACAAAAAATATATGTTTTATTAACTGAACTAGAAAATAGAATAGTGCCAGAAAAACGCCGAAGATCAGTTCACTATTTTACGCGTAAAACAGACCATATTTTTCATCTTAAGCGGAGAAAATATAAAGTATTTTTTAAAATTCTAGTATCTTAAATCACTAATAGAATAGAATAGAATTTTGTGACCACGTTTTGTTGATACAATTATGGCAAGTCATAAATACAATATGTAGAAAAATATGTAAATAAAAAACAAGACAATGAATAAATTATATAAAACAGTGAATAATGCACAAAAACATTACAGTGTATATGTGTGTATGTATAGAACAAGACGTTTATATAAATAAAAAAAAAGGAACATCAACAAAATTATTGGAAGTCATTGCACAGTACCCATGCATTACCCGACCGAGTAAAAGCAGTGCCTTTTAAGAAAGGTTAAGACGATTTTTTTTTAATTTTCTATTACTTATAACTTTCACGTTAGCTGGTAGTTTATTATACAAGTTTAAGTTTAGTGATTTTTTTTTACTTTTAGCACGAAGTAGCTTGTTATTTCTAGTTAAATAGTCATGGTAAGAGAAGTTCTGACCGAAGCTGTCTATGTTTTTGAGTATTTCTAATAATTGATAATAAATATACAGACAAGCAAGTGGCATAACTTCCAACTTCTTAAAAATTGGTCGACAGTGTTCCAGATAACCTGCACCGGCAATCAAACGAACAACTTTTGGAGTTTAAATGCCTGGTCTGCTGGGGCAAAATTAACCCAGAGAACTATGCCGTAAGTTAGATGAGAGAGAAAAATAGGTAACTCGCAATATGCCCACAGTAACCAGTCCTTTAAGTTTACCGATTATAAAAATATTAGAGGCAAGTTTTTTTATACAAGATGTTTATATGAGGTGCCCAATTTAAACTATCGTCAAGCGTTACTCCCAAGAGCCTTACATTTTTGCTCTTCAGTAGATTATTATTATTATTAGTTGAGAAAACAAGACGTTGTGTCTTATCTGTGTTTAGTTTAAGGTTATTGTTGGTGAACCACATTTCCGCCATCCGCTCAACATTATCAATATTGTGCGTAAGTTCAATGGAGTCTTTGCCATACGTCACAAACCATGAATCGTGCGCCTAAAGTGTACATTTGTTGGGGAACAGAACATGATACAAGTCATTGATGTAAATAGTGAACAGTAGCGGACCCAAGACGTAGCCCTGAGGCGCGCCTCCGCTCACAATCCTCAATTCCGATATGTTATTGTTAAAGACGACACACTGTCTTCTGTCCGTTAAATATGACCGGATAAGATCCTGAGGGTGACCACGGACACCATATCTGCCAATATATAAATAGAAAGATATAATAACTGCGAATTAAACAAATATGTTTGAATTATGGACTCTTATTGATTTTTGAAGCATTCCAATTTGCTTTTTAGTAATGCGTTTTATATTTATTTTTTTCTAAATATTTTTTTTTCTTCTGCGGTCGATAAACACTATTCTGATAAGACAAAGTCTTTTAACGTTCTTATGAACTGTGACAAAGATTTCTGCACGAGTGAATCATGATAGTTACTGTACACTTTACTAATTTGAAACGAAAATGATCTTTTCAAAAATTCTGTTTTGTGTCTAGCAATTGTGAACGTATGATGAATTGGCGGTTATTACGAGGCAAAATCTTGTTATACAGATAGATGGGCTTTTTGTTTAATACAATTTAATGAAACATTCCCGCTGCATGGAGGATTATTCTCCGTTTCATTGATTTTATAATAATAATAATATTGCCAAAGGACCTATAGGGGGCAAATACTGCCCGTGCATAGGTTGGCTCTAACATAACTTACAACTATAACTATTTAATATAACTTACAACTACTTAATATTGGTTGTGAGTTGTACCTCACCAATTATACACAAATATATTTTACTTTTTATAATTTTACAGAATTTTTTTTTAGATATTTTGAATTTTATTTATTACATTGTAACACATCTAATGTTTCTGTTAACTTTTTTTTTAAGTAATTTTTTGACAACATTGAGATTTTTCAGTTCATTAGGTAATTCTTGGTCCAATAGCCATCTGGTGTCGGGGCAAAATCATACTTTTATTACGAGTGTTTATTTGATTTTGTATATATTCATTTTTTAATTCACTATATTGATACACTATTTAATTCACCACCAAATCTTGTTTGATACTCAGTGGTCTAACTGTAGAGACCTCCCCAGCCTATGACTGCATACACAGCGACACTATGGAAAAGACCATAAAAAATTTGTAATAACTGCTTTCTTGTTAGTACTTCCTTGAGTCTATAAAAAACATATACTAAGTATTTGTTTTTTTTTACTGTGTTAGCCACGTGAACATCCCATTTTATATTATAGTCGTAAGTTATTCCTAGATATTTACTACTGGTAGCTCTTTTCAGACTCACACCATTAATCTTGATTTCAATATCCTGTGGAACAGAGTCTCTATAGTTTCCAAAAGAGACAAAAACAGACTTGTCTGTGTTGAGTACTAGTTTATTTTGATAGAGCCAGGAGTGTAAAATATCCATGGCTGTTGAAAGTTCGGGCCATGATTTTGCTTCGATTGGTATTGCAGTATCATCAGCATATGCTATTAAGGTATCTTGCAAAACCAACGAATCATTAATATATAAGATGAACCATATTGGTCCAAGTATGGAGCCCTGCGGCACTTGTTTTAACTTGCTGACTTTTAGTACCATTTAACCCCACAACTTGGCGTCTATGTTTCAGATAACTGTATCGAAAGCTTTTGTGTAGTCTAAAAAGTCACATTTGTTGGTAGGCTAAGACTTAAACTTTCATATATAAATTTTTTATCACATCATTTATGAGAAATATGTTGTCGTCGTCTATATAACAATCAGCTAACAAAAACAAATTTATTCCGTAAAATAAGCATAACAAAATATCTAAAACCCTAAGTAAATAAAAGAACAGTGTTTGTTAGCATTCTAGACCTATTGGTACACTTCCGTAGTAGTGTAATGTTGCTGACATCCTGGGTCTTCCGGGGCAGCTGCCTAAACGGGATGATCGACGAATACGGTAACAATAGGCACAGATAACTCTCTCTTGCAGTAATTGAACACTCCGACTTAACCTAACTTTTTAAATATATATTATATATAGTATTATCTCAAGCTTATGTACGCAACCAAACGTACCACAGACAACACTCATGCAGCAGCCGCATTTGAGAGTTGCCAACGAGAAAAAATCTCTTAGTTACCAAGATGGAAAAAAATATTATCTCTTCCCTTGGGTTAGGTATATTTGTTACACCCGAGCTTTCCCCTATAGATGAATCGATATCGATAATTGTCTAAATGCAAAGTAAATTACGTTTACAATCCAAAATATTTTACTGTGAAATTCTTTTGGTTTTATCTATTAAATTAAAATTTAATTTTTTTTTCTATGAAACATGTCTGAGGAAATTGTTTAATAAAGAAATGTCTCTTTCGGTTCTAGATACGTTTTCTTACGAGAAACTCGGCGATGTGCGCAACGATGGTTTGAAGTCGCTGTCCGATTGCGTACCCTCTCAGAACAGGGTGCCCGTAGTACTATCAGAAGTTAAGTGTGACAGTGTCGACAGCGAGCGAAGATTTAAGTGCGACTTATGCGATTATCGGAGCAACGCGAAGGACAACCTGAAGAAACATTCTCTGAGACACAAGAGTTTGGACGAGGTGCCGCGATATAAGTGCCACCATTGCGATTACGAAACTAAACGCAAAGGTGACTTGGTGGTGCACTTGAAACGACACCAGCAAAAACGAGATCTGGGCGAGAAGAATTTCAAGTGCGACTTGTGTGATTACCGATGTTACACTAAAGCGACTTTGAATAAACACTCCGTGGTGCACAAAAAACCGGAGGAAGTGCCCATGTACAAGTGCGACAGATGCGATTTTCGATCCAAATACAAGTCCGTTTTTAAGAGACATAATAATACAGTGCACAAAAATCCCGAGGAAGTGCATCTATATAATTGCGAGAGGTGCTATTTTCAAACCAAATACAAAGAGAGTTTCCTGCAACACAAAAGATTACACCTGGGGATCAGCAGGCAAACATACAGGTGCCAAGTGTGCGAATACCTAGGTAGTAATTTAATAAATTTAAAAAAACACTCTTTAACGCATAAAGGTTCCGATGATGTGATCTTACATAAGTGCAGCCGTTGTGATTTTCAAACCAAATACAAAAGGGCGTGGTTGTTGCACACGCAGCGACATTTGGGCGACAACGGGAAATCATTCAAGTGCGACTTATGTGATTTCCGATGTTATACGAAAGTAAATTTGAAGATGCACTCCGTGGTGCACAAAAATCCGGACGAAGTATCTCTGTTCAGGTGCTACAATTGCGAATATGAGACTAAAATCAAATATCATTTAGTGAAGCACTTGAAAGTGGCGCACAAAAACCCCGAGGAAGTGCGTCTGTATAAATGCGAAAGGTGTGATTTTCAAACGGTATACACGCACAGCATGAAGAGGCACTCAAGGCGACATGGAAATGGCGACGAGAAAACATAGTACGACGAACGTAGGTGATTCTAAGTAACTAACTATAATAATTTCAGAGATATCACCTCTTTTAATTAATGCAAAACCTATACCGGGCGTTGAAAGACATTTTTAAAGGCCCTAATATGATTTCAATTATTTCCATTATTCCAAAAATATCCCAACATCTTCGATCCGTCAAAGATAAAATTCCGTTTGAGATACGAGAAGTTTGCCTTTTACTAATTGGTAGAATACAAGCCAGTTTCAGTTAGGCTCTGAAGAAGGGAAGTTTGATTTATAACTAACCGACTCTGGAGGGATCTATAAGTTATATAAATAGTAACTAAAGATTTACTGAAGAAATGAATACAAAATAGTTCATATTTTATATTTGTACCTGTGATATTATTATTAGTTCCTAAAATTTTATTAATCATGTAGGTACTTTTTACAAGAGAATGAAAATTAACATAACCCTTTTTGGGGTTCAAACTTATAAGTTCAACCGTTTTTCGATGATTAATTGCTCTCTACATTTAAAAGATAGACTATACAAAAAGGCCTCCATTAATTCTTTTGAAAATAAAATATCAACCCGGGTTGTGGGCTCATTTTTATTCGTTCTCGCGCATCAAGGAACCTATTGCCTGTGTTAGATCATTACATGTGCCAAATTGTCATCAAATATACAGAAATTTTAAGGGGTACAAATTCCTGTTTTACTCAACCATACGCCATTTCAGTTTTTTCTACTACCTCTTTAGAGAATGGCGTTTTCGATTCCATAAAGCATTGCGAGTGCTTTTATTTCGAAAAGACTACCAAACTTATCTTAGACATACAGGGTAGCTCACTGCTGCATTCTTTTAGGTATCCATAAGAGTATATTGAAAAATTTTAAATACAAAAGGCGTTTCTATAAATGTGTCGTAAATATGCAAATGTTATGTAAATAGTTGCTTATATATAGTGTATCCCGTAAGTGTCCCACAGGACGTAATTGTTGAGCAGTTCCTCCAAACATATAAAACCAAATTAGAAAAACACTTAAGAGACATTGAGAACAAAACAACACAATAAATGTCAAGCTGACAACCAAATAACAATCTTATCAATTATGGTTCAAGTCCTACTTTTCAATTTTCCTATGTTATATTTCACAACATTTTGGGTGTACCTTAAGTTAGTTGGTGAAAGCTAAATAATAATATAAAATTTGACGAAAATGAAGGCGACAAAAGTAAAGCAACAAATTGTATTTAACAGTGTTTTATTTTATTTTATTTCAAAAAGTTGTATTTAACAATATTGTGTTGTATCCTATTTTAAAAAAAAACATTAAACACACATTTTAGTACAATAATAATAATTAAAATTATGCCTTAATTTATAACTAATAACTCTATCAACTTTTGAGTGACATTTTCTGGAAGATTTGTCAAAACTTCATTAATTTTACCTATCAACGATTGTATATTTGGAAACATTTGTGTACAAATGCGACGTTCTACTTCTTCCCAGAGATTTTCAATTGGGTTGAGGTCTGGCGACTGTGCCGGCCACTGCAAAACTTTAACATTGTTTTCTGCAAACCACTGTTGAACGAGTTGTGAAGAGTGTTTTGGATCATTGTCCTGTTGGAAAATAAAACGTAACGGCATTTCCCACTCTGCATAAGGGACCATAATATTTTGCATAATCTCCTTATAAACAAATCGATCCATTGTCCCATTAATGAAGTGTATAGGACTTACTCCATTCCATGAGAAACATCCCCATAAAAAACACTGCCTTTACCATGTTTAATTGTAGGTGTTACGTACTTAGGGTTAAACCTTGTATTAATTGGCCGTCTCACACATCGCATTCCATCAGAATTGAATATTTTATGTCGCGTTTTTTTTAGTCATTGATGGTCCAGTTTAAATGCCGGCGTGCAAAGGCCAACCTTGCTGCTGTGTTTCTTGCTGAAACTAGCGGTTTTTTTGCTGGCCGTCTACTGAACAACTTTGAAGCTACTAATCTTCTTTGATCTTCGTGATCATCAATAAATCATAGCCTACTTTAATGTCCTCAAATGTATGCTATATTTGTATACAATGTATAATCATAATGTTGGGACTTGTGTTAAATATATCTTATTTTTGAAGATGTTGCTCTACTTTTGTCTGATAGTGTATATTGCTTATTTTGGGCGTACAATATGCTGTTCAATCACTAATTTCGAGACACCCTGTATATGCGTGATCGTAGAGCAACTTGGTGGCGGTACAAACGAAGTATCTTTGAATACACTCCAAGACCTTGCGACAAACAGATCTGTACTATTCTATTTTTGAGCGGTGATATTAGTTTTTGAAAGATTTCTGTTTTGTTATGAGTAAGTGTCCATGAGGAGATATTCCGAAAAGATTTCACTATTTTTCAATTTGAGTATCGTCTGGCTCCCCCCGTAGTTAAACCTACCCGTTGTAGAAAGAAAGTCGCTAAGCTAGCTTCCTCGGCCATCAAGAAAGTGCGACAAGGCACAGTATAAACGGCATATACATACTGTAAACTCAACAAAGATCTAAGTAGTATTAAAAAAAAACAATAAATATGGTTTTTTCAATTTTTCCTTGAGAAAGTTTTGCACTTTTCTGGAAATAAAAATATGTTTCTCTATTTCAATTTTAGATTTGAAGCAGCTGCCCGATTGCGACCCCTCAGAAAATAGGGTACTGTTAGTAGAGACCAAAAAGTGCAGCGGTGCCAACAGCGGGAGACCTAAGGGAAGCTTAGGAAAACGTTCTGTTGTGCTTCGTAAAAGTGCGTACGAAGTGCCCCCATATAAGTGCAACGACTGCGACTATCTAACAAATGTCAATGGACATTTGGCGGATCACTCGAAACGGCACTCGGCGAAAAATTTCAAGTGCCATCTGTGTAATTATGCGGGCGTCAAAAAATCCAAATTAGAAAGACACTGTGCGGTGCATAAAAATACGGACGACGTGCCTTTATATAAGTGTCACAACTGCGTTTACCAAACCAAGTACAAAGAGAACTTGTTGAAACACATCAAAAGACGGCACGTGGTGGGCGGGGAAAAAATATTCAAGTGCGATTCGTGCAATTACCGTTGCGCTGTTATTTCTGATTTGAAGCAACACGCCATAGTTCATAAAAATCCACAAGAAGTGGCTCTACACAAGTGCGACGACTGCGCGTACCAAACGAAATACAGAACGAGTTTTTTGTCGCACTTACGGCGGCGGCATTCGGTCGTCACCGAGAGAAAATTTGAGTGTCCCGCGTGTGATTATCGATTCCTTACTAATTTTGAATTGAAGAAACACTCCTTGGTGCACAAAAATGCGGACGAGGTGCGTCTACATAAGTGCGACCACTGCCATTACCAAACTAAACATAAAAACTGCTTGGTGGAGCACGTCCATCGGCGGCACTCTGCACTCAGCGAGAGGAAATTCAAGTGCGAGTTGTGTGATTATCGATGCGTTAGAAAGTCTTATTTAAAATCACATTCCATGGTGCACAAAAATGAGGTGCCTCTCTACAAGTGCGACAAGTGCGACTTTCAAAGTAAATACAAAAGCTGCTTGGTGAAGCACATACAAGGGCAACACTAGGCCATCGAGGAAAGACGACTCGAGTGCAAATCCGCTTAAAGTACACTAATTCAATCTTCAATTACACAGGTCTACAAAATTAAACTTTTTGACAGATGTTTTTATTTTAAAAACTGATTTTATATAATTTTGGTAAGCTAATTTCAAAAATTCCATGCATTTATTTGTATGTATTTGTATGGTTTTTTTCCAAATATTAAAGGAAAAAAATATTTCTAAAATAATTTATTTTTGGAGTGAAATATTCGTTTTTTTGCCAGAAAGCTGCGATGTCCGAACATCCGGCTGTGTGTTTTTAACGGCATATCCCGTTTTAACATTCAGCAGTAGTCCGCCATCATCGTTATGCTCCATCTGCCTTGGTATCGCCGTTCCATTTCCTTAATGTCCTATTGAAACCTCTCTCCCTGTTCTTCGCTAACTGCTCCAAGAGTTCAAGTGCCAAAACAGGCAATGCACTTTCAAACTCATATTACAACGTAGACAATACTTTCGTAGTTTTCGTTCTTGGAGTTCCCAAGAAACTTACCAATTACTTCTTTAAATGAAACCTAGGCGTTTTTCTCGACATTGGTCATTGTGCTTTGAAAATCCTTGTCTTTGCATAATGTTCTTATGTGCGGCCTTCTTTTATCTTGTTATTTTTGTCAACAAACTACTTCATCAAGCCAAGTTGGATATGAAGATGAGGCAGTAAGACTTTTTTGGTGTCAACTAATCTACCTCTTAATACATTTTTGCTACCAGGTGTAAAGTTTGTTCTAGAGGACCATTCTACTTGAGTCTAATATCTATCTCTTGCCCGACTATTCCACTCACAAATAAAGCATGAAAATTTTGTATAACCCCCCTGTTTTCCTAGGAGCAAGCACAGCACTTTAACGTCACCACATTAATGTTCTCGGTGGCTTATTTTCTTCAAAAGATGTTCTAAATTTTCAAACGTTTCTTTTAAATGTACCGAATGTGCAACGGGAACCGAGGCCGGTTCGTTACCATTGTACAATACAACGGCTTTTAAACTACTTAAGTCAATAAACATGCGCCATTCATCTTTTTCGCAATCCCGATAAAAGCTTTATGTGACGCCAGATACCAGTAAATGCTTGTCACGAAGTCTGGACGCTATCAATTCGGATGCAGCATTTGGAAGGTGCAAATCTCTAATTACATTATTTAATTCGCTCTGTTTAAACACTTCGGGCCATCCGAAATCTGGTATGAGATCTGAGTGATCTGGGTCGGAATTAGATTCCTCTGATTCGAATGATATGACGTTTTCTAGTTGTTTTGAGGCGGTAGGTATCGATACACCTAGGACTCAAAATTGGGATACACACTTTATTTCTTATTTTTTCTGTTGAATCCTTGAACAATTCACGAACAAAAATAACAATCGTTACTGTGATGCCCAGGCTCTCGCCATGCCATAGGAACACCAAAACTTAAACATTTCTTCTTACCTTTTTGCCAGTTTCAACGCAAACGGAAAAAACAGTATGAGGAAACGCAGGACTTGGCTTGGCCGCCAATTTTTACATCAAGATAAGCGACATTTTTTAAAATAGACAAAAGTTATTTGGATTGTTCACACAATGTCTTCTTTCCATATTTATACGTTCTACCCAACAACGAAGACAACAGCCGCAAACACAGTAGCACGACTACCAATACAACCAAACTGCGCATAAGCAGGTTACAACGCTGAATTGATACTTCTACTGTATCGCTTTGCATAGAAATTGAATATTATCCAGTGTTGCCAGATCACATTTAAATTCATAAAAATCAATTCATTCAAACATCATGCCTAACATATCATAGGTATGTATTAAAAAAATAAAATAAAATAACATTTTTTTGGAAAAAGGGCCCCCAAAAATACACAAATGAGCAAACAGCTTTCAAACATCAAAATCACTGTAGACCTGTGTTATTATTATCAAAACCAAAACCATTCTTAGTTTCACAACTGCGTTTGAAAGGTTTTCCCTAATAAATGAGGTTTATCTGAAAGTAAATTAGCTCAATTTATTTTTAGTTGAATACAATTTTTGAAGAAATATTTGAAAAAAAAAACGTATCTGCTACAATAATAAAGATATCGAAGTGAACCAATAACGAAAATGTCAAAATGGAACCGGTTCGACAATTCAAGAACTAATAATCTGGTTAATTTTAAGACAAAATTAAACATTAAAATTTATCTAATGAAAAAGTTGGTCAATTTGTTTTCTTCTTGCCTTAGGACAATACTACTACGGTAAAAATTGATGCGCCGCAGGCAACATTGATTTTTTTCATAGAGAAGGAAATGATTTTCCGCGCGTACTTACGGCAAACACACCAAATTTTCAAATAGGTGGGCAAAAACATGAACACGATAGGATACATAATCATCAAACACCAGAAATGAAAACATCAATGTCACAGACTGTTAGTGAAATTGACGAGAATGTCGCAACTCAGCAGGTGACGTATGCACGAAATATCTGCACGAAATTATCATAGCCACCTTGGGCGCATCTTATCTCATAGCTATATAGTCGCTCATAAAAAATTTTCCCATCCTTTGCAATTAGAAATATTGCGTTGCATAAACGGACAAGCTTTCTATACATAAACAGCACATAGCGCGTTAGGCGCGAAATAGAGTTAAATAGAGAACGACAACATTTTTCATTGCCATGTCTGTGCAAAGCCTTTGCTTATTTTATGCTAGCAGTTGCGGGCTCAAATAACTTTTAGCGTTTTTCCCCTCTGATACATACTAAACATTAACTAAATCGAATTTTACTTTTCATACCACAGAACAAAACATCATTTAAAATGATGTAACACTGGGCAAGTCTACAGGGACAATCGCTCATTACGACTCTCACTGACTTACGCCGACGATTTTATATTGTAAGTAATTAATCAAGGCAGAATTCTGATATCATTGTATATCAGTGATTGTTTTGATCGAACAAATTTTGTATGATGTCATTACAGTGTTGTCAAGTAACGACTTTGATGTATATCGTCAATGGGCGAATGACTCTAGTACCAAGGCCCAAGAGGAGAATATTCCTCTAATCGAATCTTTTTAAAGCTTTTTTTGGTACGAAGCTTAAAGTAATAACCGGAAAGGTGCAATTTGCTTTAGAGTATTTTGTTGGTTTTACGTGTTCGAGTTGAGAGGTGTTCCTACATTTATAAAATCATGGAAGTCAAGCAAGAAGTAAAGCCGGAGATATGCGATAGTTACCTAGAAGGAATCGATTTGAAACCAAGTACTTCTCTCGGTTTTCTAAACAATATTAATATTAAGGGTGAAGCTTGGGAGTATGAATTGTGAGTGTCATGAAAATTCATAAATGCCTCTATATGTAGACGTCTTCGTTTTTAGTAACAGTGATATTAAGAGTGAAGATGATCAGTCCGATTTGGAAAAGGAACACATTAAGGATGAAAGTTTGTCAATAAAAGATGAACTGCTATCGCCTTCAACAGAAAATCTTGGTAAGTACATAAATTTTTATGGTAAATGGTTGTCGGCAATATTTTGTTGTTGTGGTGATGCTTGGCTACTTAACTACAATAATAAAAGTGTAAAGATCACCAGATTGCCAACACAATAAGTCCATGAATTATTAAAAATCCCAACGCATTTGATCTTAATACTCAATTAAACTTTCAAATTTGAATAAGTACAACCTTTAGTGCTACTTCATATTAAATAAGGATCTAATTAATAGTCATTCCTTAGATCCATGGAAACCTCTGTTCTTCGCATAGAGAAAACTAATGAAAAAGAGAGTTGTATATGGGAAATATATTCACCAGCGGCACCCTGAGCTACAGGAAGACCTAATTTTCTGGCATTAGGAATATTAGAGAAAAGTAATAAAAGTGCAATTGTTTCTAGTTAAGATCACTTTATCTTACAAATAAAAAATATGAAACCCAAGAGAAAACAAAATAAAAGTGGAAAAAGTCATACCATACAATAATGTAAACTAAACAAATAAAAAAAATAAATACTTAATTATATGTGCACTTATGTACACATATAATATCTACTCTAGATATGTAATAAACGTAATAGTTTTCTGTTTAACTTTATACTAACCTCACTTTCAGTTTACCTGAATTTTGGAGTTTAGTTTAATTTTTATGGCATATATGACATAAACTAAACATCTGCACACTGCATAGAACAACAATAATAAATTAAATTAACGTTTTGTTTTAACAAATTCAGTAACTTTCAGGTTTTCTCTGTCAATCACAAATTCAACTGAACAATAAATATCCAACTTTTTGTTTTTTTTTCCTGTCCAATCAATTTGTTCAAACTCGAGACCTCCTAATTTGTACTACAAGCATGGAATGGCACCCCTATTATTCTCATTTAATTCATTCTCTTTTTATTGATTTTTGGTTTGTCTGTTTTATATATAAGGCGGGTTTATTTTAATGTTACTTTTTTATTCATTTTGGAGATGTCCAAACTGTAGGACTTTGTTATAGCGTATTGTATATGAAATGTTTCTACAAAGTTCTGCAGAATTCAAAAATGCCTGAATATACAGGGTGTGTTCTATTTAAAATAAGAAAGTTGTTGCCTGTTCACGAAAAATCAAACAGCTTCTATCAATTATCGAACTACATTCACTAGAGAGTCAGTGTGCAAGGAGCATCATCATAATTACTATTTGCTTTAGCCATGTTAGAATTTGGAAAATTTGGAAGACGCCCTAGTTATATCCAAATGAACGCGGCGCTACGTATCATTATGTATATTCGTCGTATATATAAATATATTATACACTCACTTGTTTGCGTCTACATACATCAGTATTAAGGGTAAAATGTGTGCAAAACTATTTACTCTTATACTTATTCGTGTATGAAGCGTCATTATTAAGTTATTGGTTATTTTCGCTAGTTCTGGTGTATGTTCTGAGCGCCAAGTATCAATAAGAATAAGTAAGTACCTATAATTTTTTTTTCGGGTAATGCGACTTCAAATTCTCGTGATTTTTTGGCATTTTTCTGTTATATTTCTAGATTGTTTCAGAATTAATAGGAGTAGCAAAATTATGATGCTTGCTCATAATAATTGTTTAGACATTTTGGAAGTTCCTAAATACGAATCACAGGGCACCGATTGAAACGAACAGGCAATTTCTGAGCAAATTCTCTGGTAAGTACAAAACAAAGTTTTTTGTGTTCTCTAGGATTATTAACGATCCTATTAGACGTTTATAGAGGACAATGAGGTGTTCTCAGATTTAGTCATAATTTACGTGAACTTTTTTTTTAAATGGAACACGCTGTATATTGTTGCATTTTTAGATTGAATAGAACATGTTGGAAATTAAGAAAATTGTATTCTGTAAGAAAACCGTAACTGGTTTTCTTCTTCCCATGAATTTATTTTCTAATTTTTTCAAAATTTTAGTGTCAAAATGTGCAAAAAAAGTACCGGTTTTAATGAATTTAACTCTTTTTGGTCATATGAAAGTTAAGGAGTATTATGACTTTTTTGTGTCACCCGCATATTGAAAAAAATGTAGAGATTTATTTTTGTTTTTGGCTTTCAATACTTTGTAGCTTTTATATTTTGAACAAAACAAATTGTTGTATAATCCATTTTCATAGCTAATGTTAATTTTGGAAAAAAATTGTCTGTGCAAAAACAAGAAAAGATTCTGCAAAAATATTAATTTCTTTAGGTTTTGCAATAGCTTTGTTACTCTAGCTCATACATTATAAAAAGTACACAAAGTTGAACACTAATAGTATTTACAACTATTTAAAACTAACCTTTAAGCACCATATTTTTGCAAAATCTTTGCTAGAATTTATGCAGGGCGCATAAAATAGTATATTATACAAGTGCGGTAAACGGCATTTGACTCACGAATTTATTTGACACGAGCGTTTAATAAACGAGTGAGTTAAAAAGTTTACCGAATGTGTTGCATACTATACTTTTTCTACGGCCGCTAGTTTTTGGGTACATTTTCGCAAAACACAATTACATTCACTGACATGACTGTCAGAATTGAGAAACGTCAAAATTCAAGGCGTGGGAAATATTTCCGAAAACATCCGATTGCTCCCAAACCCGTGCGGTAAAATCCCGGAAATATCCGAAGTGACTCGGATTCGTGGGAAACGAAACTGACGTTGTAAAGTGACGCTTCCTGCACGGTAGATCGGTGTGTAATTAGGTATTTTACAAACGGGAGTAGCAAAATATATTTTTTGAACATCCTGTTTAAAATTGTATTACAATATTTTTGTTTTCTGGGATTTTGCGTATGCCCTATTTAGAAACGCTATTTACAAAATGTAGATAGTGAATCAGAATATATTGCAGATGACGTTTCGAGGTCGGGTACAGATTCAGAGTACTCGGAATCTGAAGAAGAAGAAAGCGAGCTAGTTTCAGGCAAACTCGAGGATCCTTGGCTTGAACAAATGGTAGATATTTTGGCGTGGTATTTTATTTTACATATTTTATGTTAACTTGACGCCATACTGCACATTATTGTCCCTAGATATAAAAACTACTTTGTACGAGCGGGCAAAAGTAGTAGTTTCCATGGTACTTTAAATAGTGATTTGTTTTACTAGGCAGTAAAGCACATAATTTTCTGCCTTGTGAAATAACAAATAAAAGAGATTTTTAATGACACTTCACATGCGTTATATGGCTAGTTTTACTGCCTAGTCAGAAAAACTATAACTTAAAACTAACCAAAAATGAAGTAAGTAAAACTCCTGAGACTTTGGACTTGTTAACCCGGCATGTTAAATAAATAAATAAAGCCTGTCAAGTGTCATTTAAAAGTCACTATGCATGTCACTGGCAGAGAAAACAAATTACATTAGATGTTATATTCTTAATGTGCAGGAAATATTGTGTGAACATTCTCTATGGTTTGATTTTTCTAAATCTCCCTGAAACTATTAATATTTGCACATTACAACTATTATAATTTGCAGACAGCAAAACCAAAATTTGACGCCAATTCTTTAAAACCCTAAAATTTATATTTGTCCCGTTTAAAAAAAAATCCAATTCAGTTACATGCATATTAATTGTTTCCTTTTGTAGATACAGAATACAGATGAAGAAGCGGAAACTTCAATTGGTTCTAGCCAAGGTTTAAATCAAATCACGGAATGTAATCCACTAGAAGATTTGGGGGAGTTTAAGCAAAATGGGGAAAGAAGAAAGGGAAATAAGAAAAAGGACTTTTGTATGTACTGTGAAAGTTATGTTTTAAATTTCGCTCGGCATGTATTTGGGGCGCATAGAATTGAAAGTAGTGTGCAGAAAATCATCTCTTTGCCAGCCAAAGATCCTGAGAGAAGAAAATTATTGAATCTGTTAAGAAGAAAGGGTAACTTTTTGAATAGCAGCGTTATTCAGAAACCTGTGAGAAAACTACAATTAGGAAGAAATATATTACCTTGCACAAACTGCAAAGGTTTCTACGCCTCAAAACAGCTATGGCGCCACAGGAAAAAGTGTATGGGAACAACGGATAAATTACACCAGGCAAAAGGACAAAATCTGCTCCTTAAAAATCTTGAAATAGACAAAAAATTAATGGACGAAATTTTTCCCAGAATGCGACCAGATGAAATATCAATGGTCGCTAAAAGTGATCCACTTATTTGTGCTTTTGGAAAAAGGTACTACGAAAGTCATCGGGAGAAACACTTTGTTAATGTAACTTCCCGTAAAATGAGGGAATTGGCAAGACTATTAATTGAAATTAGGAAAATAAAACCTTCAATAAAACATTTTTTGGAATCGCTCAAGACCGAAAATTTTGATATTCTGATACAAGCAACAAAAAATGTAGCACAATATAATGAAGAAAATAAAAGTTATGGATCAGCTTCGACAGCACTTAATTTAGGTACTGAAATAAAGAATTGTGCCCAAATTGCTATCTTATTTGTTTTAAACAGAAAAGAAATTTATGGAAATTTGCTGCCGCCAGAAGCTGAGGCTGACCTAAAAACCTTAATTGAATTGATAGACAGTGAATGGAAGTTTAAAGTATCGATACAAGCATTAAACGACCTTAATGTTAAGAAGTGGAACAAAATGACCATGCTTGCACTTGCCAGTGACGTAATGATTCTAAATGAATATTTGTTAAGAAAAGCACAGTCTACAGTAGAACTTTTGAAAATTAACCGTAAAGATCAAGCCGCCTATACAACTTTACTCGAAACGGTATTTTGCAGGGTCCTCTTACTAAACAGGCGACGACCAGGTGTACTACAGAAACTTCCTCTTAATATTTATGGACAGTTGTCACTCTCGAGCAGCGATGAAGAGTTTTCTAACATGGTAGCTCCAGCCGAGCGAATTTTGTTATGTCGATTTAAAAGAATTGTTATTCGGGATAATGGGCGACGTGGAGTGCCCGTACTTTTCAGTCCTGATATAGAAGACCACATACAAATTTTACTAACACATCGCAGGA